GTGCGAACATGCGACAATTGCCACGCGATGTGACGTGTCGCACGACCAAGCAATAACTGCATATTTCATTTGATATAATTGCTAATTAAGCAGAATGTGTGTTAACACGGTGTCCATTTCATTAATAACATGTCATTACTCTTGCAGGATTGTCCGTGAAATTTGTCATATGTTTATTTTCGAACGAATTATATTTTTTCTAAATTTCTAAAAAATAGTATCTACGCACACAGAAACCTAATTTGAATTTAGAATTATTTTACTATTTATTTTCAAGATAATGTGGAGAACTTTAAGAATAAATTTAATATCCTACGTAGTTAATAACACAACAGTAGTAAAAGACAAGTCGGGTTTAGCAGGACGAGGGTCGGGCAGACCACGGACGGAAAGACCGCAGCGCTGCGGCTTGCGGCCTGCGGTCCGCGAACCACAGACCCGCAGACCCATACAATATTCAACAATTGCAATACTTAATGATAAAAATTAAATGTATACAGATTACTCATGTTAGAACAACAAAACGCACTGTGGACTTGTTTTTCTACTTAATAAACTTAATCTTAGTCTGGTGGCTAAAACTACTATAGAAATTTAATTATCTTTTGTAAACTTCACAAACTTAAATTATTCAACTTCTTGATATTTATTAAAATATTTCTCAACTAAGATATCATCGTATGCAAATGTAATTATCATATTTGAATCAACAACTCAAAACTATGAACGTTTTTGACGGTGACCTTTTGAAATTAACATAAAATACCTCAATAGCTCTATTATAGACGAAAACAACTTAGTAATACTAATTAATTGGAATAGGTGTGATAATTATAAATTAATGCTACTAATTATTCACATTAATGATACAATTTATTCATAAACTAATTGGCCGTTAAAGCATAATATTAGGATTTTATGTTCTAAATTTTTGAGTTTAAGCAGAAAAAGTAAAATGCAAAGCAATTGTTTTTTATATAATTAATTTCCTAAAATAACTATAATGAAAATGTTTAATTAAATTTTATAATCGATCTTTGAATGGAAGAAATTAGCATAGTATTGCCATACAAGCTTTAAACGGTAACAGTTGCGTAATCAAAACTTATAGTGGCATAAAATATTTTTGAGCGGAGATGAGAATAATTTATCTTGTGCAAACAGTGTGCCTGTCCAGGGTAGTTGGGCCTGGGCACACAATAAGCGGGAGAGCAAACAGCTTGCGCAAACAAGCCGAGTAAACTTGCAAACTCGGACCCTCCAATCCCGTACAAATGTTATGATGTATACTATTTAATATTTCACCCCTGCCCTTGTTTAATTTTTATTCGAAATTCGAATTTCGTAAATCCACTGTGCCTACTGAAATACGTTAGATTTAAATCGAATTACTGACAGTTCTAGAAAAATAATGTTTTTTTCGTGTGTGTTTTTTGTGTTTCGTACTAAAACTCCGTATTAAAACGTTTGGTTTAAAATATATTGCTTACCTTCGTTACATCGTGTTTCAATGGACGGAGCTATGTTTGCGTTGCAGCAACGAGCTTGTAAACAGCGAACGGCTCCGTAAATAAACACCCCGTTTCGACGTGCCTAGCTCTTGGGCTATATCTGTTTATATTATTTGCTCTTGTTGTTAGCTCTCTGCTTGTTTCTTCATTAAATTGAAGGTATTTTCTAAAGAAACACTGCGGATTTTTTTATTCTTATTTTTTGTTACGTTTCAGGGATTATTTAATAAACAGTTTGAAGATAAGCTACTTAAATGCTTATTTAAGGTATGCAGGACTCCAATTAATAAAATAACTTTTTATCAAAACTATTACGTAATACGGTAATCAATAAAATTTAATGATTTAATCTAAAAATTTAATTTCCTTTATCATTGTCAAAAATACTTATAATTTAATTGATGTTCCTTTTTTCGGACTATCTTATCTAATGTAATTCGTTTTTTATCACAAAAAAGTTATTTTCTAAGTAGGTATTATGAGTAGGCTTTGATAAATAATTTTTATTACTTATTAAACACATGGCACATATATACAAATAAAATAGCTATGTGTGTGTGTGTGGAAAAATATAGTAGAAAAATCTATAGATTACGCACTGCAAAACAATGAAATGAAGTTACCTAGTGAAAAACTACTCAATAGAAAATGTATATAAACTGATACAATAGATGAAATAATAAAACAGTAAAATAATGTTTAGTATTTATAAATATATAGAATTTCATATTATGCAACTATTAATTTGACACTCGCGCAATAGATGACGTTATACCGCCCATAATCCCCGCCATTTTGATTCTGTAATGTCTACAGATTATGTCTTAATCGTAGAATGTATAATTACCAGTAAATATACTTGTATTGTTACGACGGGTACCGTAAAGAGAAACGCACAGTCATTAGATACAATAAGTATTGATTGATTCATCCGAAGAAACAACTGTCTTAAGCTATTAGTAAATTGAGCAAGTCATGTGAACTAAGAAACTTGTTTTGAACACTTACGTAACACGATCCTTACCATTGTTCAACGAGGAACTTTATAGCTGTTAATTTCACCACATATAGTAGCAATTAATTACGCAAGGTCAACTTTCGCTCACTGAGAAAATTAGATGCATATTTTGCCTGGCCTTTTGACTTTGATTGTAAGAAAAAGAATTGTGGAAAGTAATGAAAGTCCATGAAAATTCCATAACATGAGTTTAGCATCTTTTGATCGATAAATAAGCTAGTTAGCTTTGCAATTATTATTTTTGTTATGCTAATAGCTGGGTGGTTAGGCGACACTTATCGTAATGGAAATCTGTTGGACAATTCACACGCGCTCGCAAGTGCTCTTATAAAAGTACCGAGTCAAAAAGGCTTCACGCTTTAGTGGGAGGCAGGATAAAGGGCTGCAAACGTTTGGCGCGGACCTAAACAAATAGGGGTAGCTAGGAAGCCGGCTTTTGTTTGTCGAGAAACATACGAGTCAACAAACTCCGCCTAGCATCAAAGTCGTCTCATTTTACCTCCAAGAAAGCTGTCAAAACCAACATAGCGTGTTTATTTAACAACGTAATTCACTGACTAATCTTAATTTTACAACTGTTCGATATTCAAATATTGGACGAAACCCGAAATGACCGCGTCTGCGTTTCTCAGAAACAAAATCCAGACATCTCATAGCAATTGTCTGGTTCGTTTAATAAATGTTCTATGTCGAATCTTGATTTATTAAACAGGAAAGAGATCTATATTGACAGACGGTGTTCGACGAAGCGCAACTTGATAGCAATTACAATCTGATTACGCGACGTCGGCGCCGCGTACAAGTTCTACTCTCAACTCGATATCAAGATAACGATGTCTCCCGCACTCGCCCACTCCATTCCACTTGTATCTACTTGCCAATGTAATTATACCCATTTGTTTATAATGATAATTAACGATGCGCTCTCTACTAGATCGTTAAGATTGCGGGGAAAGGTTCAATAGCGCACGGCTGATAAATACATTTTCGAACGAACGGTACACGTGCGAACAATAATTTATCGAAGAGTGGGAAAGTGCACAGGCCGCTAATGTTCCGCGGCGGGATATGTTTAAACAATTATTGCTTGCGAATGCGATACGAATCGATGATAATGTTGGCCTCTGTAATAGCCCATTTATCGACTGCCATTTCGCCGAGGGAATTATTTATTGGCGCGCCACGACGACGACAACACAATAGAGCGTCGATCGGCTGTTTTGTTTAATAAAGTGGAAACTTAGCGAGTTGCGGGTAAGATAAGCTGAACGCGGCGTGCATAAATAATTCATAAAAGCGGTAGCAACCATTAATGAAGGTCGAAACCGCACCCGCGCCCTGTCAGTTTGCTTTATTTCGCGAACACAATCGTGGTAAAAGTTTATCGGGCAGAGTGCTCGGGGAGGCAAGTTATTACCGGCCACCTACTTAAATCTATCTCTCTCACGTTCAACGTTTTATTGCTGTCTTATTGTATTAGAGTTTTATCGGTTTCGTTAATTCATAATACAGCGAAATAAAATTAATTTTTTTATTTTTTATTATGGAATATAAGATACAGGTATCCTTTATCACGTATCATTAAATTTGTATCCGTACATCCCTACTCATCGGCAAAGAAGACAGAGGGTTTAGGCCGAGAGAAAAAGCCGGCGAAAACAACTCTCGGTACTCTTTTAAAATATCAAATCATCATACAAAATGACTATGGCAAACATAGATAGAGGAAACCAGAAGGGAGATACGGTCCGCTCTTTATTTGTATTAAATTACAAACTGAACGAAAACCTCGTCCTAAACCTAGTCCAGTTTCCGGAAGCGGCACCTGTTCACAGCCATGACGTGTGAGCCATCTGTTTACTCAACCATCTTATTTGAGGGGATTTAATATGGTTCGATTAAAGTGTAATTAAGTCACTCCAGTTTCTTGCGTAATAAGTCTTACGTGTGAAATCCGCATACCTGTTACAATGTAGTGTATGAAGCACTCTGAGACAATAAGTTGCGGGTGACGAGCGGGGCCCGAGCGACCCGCATTTGGGTCACGCCCCGCCTTATGCATCCACTCCACGCGCAATGCCGCAGTTGACATTGTGCCCAAATGACTCGCCTGCTATCTCCGCTGTTTGTGTTTCAAATATTCATGGAGATTTCCGAGCTAGCTACGACAAACTTTGAATATTGCAAAACGTTAATGCTATACTACCTCATACATACATTGCGTTATCTGAATAAAACGATGTAATTTCTTGAATTTAACTTTAAAACATGAAACATACATTTGCAGCGATGCAGCCACGTGATATTAAAAGTTTAGAGATAGAACTCTGCTCACGTCATGTAACAAAGTGCAGAAATAGGTAGGAGAACAAATGGGGCGTCTCTGCAAGATGCAACTCCAGATTAAAAGCTCGACCGAGTAAACCACGTGAAAATCGCGCAAAAAGAGGAGTCACCCGCGGCATTAGCGGATGAGTGTCGGAGCCATTAGTGCACCCCCCTTCCTCACACCCCCACTCCACCCGGCCACCACTAAGCCCACGTACCTCTTTTATTTCTCGCGCGGGGATGAACTCCTTAATGACAAACCTTACTATATCTTTTGTGGAGAACTGGCGAAAGTACGTATTTGCGGCCTTTTTGTTGGTCTCTTTTTATTCGCGTTCACAGCTGCACAAAGGGAGATGTATGGATTTAAATTACTAACCTTGCGCTACTTTAGCTTCTATCTCGCTTTTATCTGTTTGTTTTCACTCACGTTGCGTAACATTACAAATATGCGACATTAATGGTGACATCAGACGTCAATAAAACAACATAATTGCGTCGAGTGATTTTAGCGCCGATAAAACAATTGAACCGAGCATTTAAAACAAACAGTGAAAACTTTCATGAAACCAATATGAAGTCACCGATATAAATGTCCGATATTCAAAAAGCTTATTATGTTAATTCATTCTCGATTCACTGCAAATCTGTGAATAAAATTAATGTGCATTTAAACGTAAAATACGAACAAAGCCAATAAATAGCGGGAACACAGCGATTTATCATTTTATTTGACCGCATTGCATATTGTTTATCATGTTAATTTTATTTGTTGCTCTCCATTCGACTTATCGACTGAAATTATAATTGTCAGAATTGAATTCAAACCGCGTTGGAATGTGAAAACATTAACTATTCGTATGTATAATGTTAAGCTGTTAGCGGTCTAATAATTGATCACCGTTCATACTGAATGTTAATTTCATTCATAGAAAAGGCTGAATTTTAATGCGCTTCTTATGAACCGGGTTTTAGTGTCACGACTTTGTCCGATACACATTAATTATTCATTCACGGAGCGATTAGATTTCTGTATTAGCTTTAATGTGTTTATGTACATTGTGGCACTTTATGTGGACTTGTTTGACGTGTATTTTTCTTTCAGACGGAAATAGCAAAGAGGTTAAATGCAATAATTGCGCAAATACTGCCGTTTCTCTCACAAGATCACCAACAGCAAGTGGCCTCAGCTGTAGAAAGGGCGAAGCAGGTCACAATGACGGAACTCAATGCAATTATTGGGGTAAGTGAAGATTGCTTTTGAAGTATAAAACATGTAACTTCGAAAATGTATTTTCTCTACATAGCTTTAGATGTTGCCTTTTCTAATAATGACTAATATTAGTGGATTTCTATGGTTTTTTATGAGAAAACTGGTAGTAAGCCTTGATGGTGTTGGCCTACGCTAACGCAACGATGGCTTCAGCGTGCGACTTATTTTTTTTTAAATGTAATAGGAGGCAAACGGGCAGGAGGCTCACCTGATGATAAGTGATACCGCCGCCCATGGACACTCACATTGGCTCGGAAGTGCGTTGCCGGCCTTTCAAGAATTGGTACGCTCTTTTCTTGAAGGACCCTAAGTCGAATTGGTTCGGAAATACTTCAGTGGGCAGCTGGTTTCACATAGTGGTGTTGCGCGGCAAACTTACATCCCTGAGAGATCATGGGTTCGATACCCGGCTGTGCACCAATGGACTCGCTGTCTATGTGCGCATTTAACACTGACTCTTAAGGTGAAGGAAACATCGCGAGGAAACCGGCATGCCTTAGACCAAAGAGTCAGCGGCGTGTGTTAGGCACAGAAGGCCTATTAGAACAAACAAATGATGACGCAACAGATGTTAAGTGCCATGGACAATTCCTCTCTTCATGGACCACTCGTGAATTCGTTCCTAGCCTTCAAAAACACTCGAACCATTTATAAAAAATAACAACGCTATATCAAGAAGCATAACGGAATTTTAATAGATATTTGATTTAGAAGCATAAACTAATTCCACGGATATATTTCAATTGGAATTGTAACACGTGTCTTGTGCAGCAGTCGAATGTTAAAGCGAAATGTAGTTACACCCACTTACTGTGGCAATTGTCCAAAATGTTGTTAATAGCATTTTTCCTGTCTTTGTTTTTAGACAATATAGAGTAATATACCTATGCTTGCTTGATGATCTGTGCTTTCCAAAAATACAAACTTTTAAAGGCCGGTAATACACTCTTGACAGTTTTTTAAACATTACTTATCATTAGCCTCGTCTCGTTTTTTAATATTTGATTTATAATGAAAATCCTCTTCATACGTATTGCGTAATAGTAAATATTTTCCATCTTTATATTTGGTTATATATTTCACACCCAAATATTACGTAAAATAAACTCAAATCGAAGTTATTGCGAAATAATCAAAATTATTGTAAACATTTTTCCAACTAATATACATTATTTACAATATTCTTAACCTACATAGTAATAATAATAATAAATTTATTAATAAAAAATTTAAGCAAATTAAAAACGTTTCGTTGAGCAAGATAAGCAGCCGCTCTGGGGTCACTGGTAGGTACTATCTACCAGGTGCCAATTTATACCTTTAATTAGCGCCTGTGCACTTGAACCCTACGGCCCAAGAGACTCTACTCCAAAGTGAACAAAATCAAAGTTGGAGGAAATAATTATTTAATACTTCCCATACTAAACCCGTTTTATACTAAAATATGTATTTTGTATAGCATCTAAAACTAACGAAATATAACACGTTAACGTTAACTAATCGTCTCAATAGAAATTACTAGATTTAATTGTGTGAAACATGTGGAATTTGTGTCGAAACATGTTCGTGTAAGTTTAAGGCTTTTCAACAGGTCGAAAGCTCGATCGTTAATTAAACGATCTAAGCCGCACAACTCCATTTGGCCGCGATCCAAATTTAGTGAATTGATAAAATGTCTACATTATGTTTATTTAATTTCGGTTAAAAATTTCTTTGACTACTGTTATTAGGAAATTAATGTTTCGCGATTTGCATTGAATTCTAAGGTCAATAATTTGTTGTTGCATCAGTAATTGGTTCGGAAATACTTCAGTGGGCAGCTGGTTTCATATAAAGTGCGCGGCAAAAAATGTCTGATCAAACTAAATATACTTAATCAAATAATAACGCCATGTGTAGGCTTTAGCTATTCATTAATATTAAATGGTCATAAATAAGCAAACAGTTTATAAATATACTTAAAAAATACTTTAGTATGCATACTTTTTGGTCAGTCGTGTTTTCTCTCTCTTTATATACGCGTTGGTCCGTAATTTGTCACGTCACTGCTCTAATTAGTGAGTTTAAGCTCACGTGAACATGTTAAACATGTACATTTTAGACTGGCTATTAATGATTTATAGTAACACGTTAATATTAACAATTCACACCAATATCGTGGCTAATTTGATTATATTCAATTAACAATTTTTGCAGTCGTGAGGTCTTCATAAATCGATAACATTCACCGATTATTTTTATGATGTTATTAATATAGAAACGATTTAAATTTCTTTAATTTTTCAGAGAATATCGAGAGCTAGTATTAAAAACACTTAACTGACTGAATAGTAATGGAAATGTTTTATCTTTTTAAATATATATTGAATATATATTCAACATATACAATATATATAATAGATAAGCTACATTCTATCATCCCGGTTTACTACCTAGTTCTGTCCTTGATCGTCGTGTTTATAGTAAGACTTGGTTTCCTTTTAAGCTTTTTAGTTTACAAGCAAAGTGGTCATTGAAAAAATATGTTCGTGCACTGAAGGTGTTGGCCTAGTAGCTTCAGCGTGCGACTCTCACCTCTGAGAGATCGTGGGTACCTCACTTAACTACTTCAACAGTCTATCATACTCCTAAGCCTACAAAATACATCTATTACACAGCCACTTTGGTATTTCGTTAGGCCAAGTCATTAGCGGAGCTTATTATAAGCAAAAAGTAAAAGCTGTGATCAAAATAAATCGTTTTCAACATAATGAGCACGAAAATAAAGTGGTGAAACTCCGTCGCTCATCAGTGTATGGACGATAGACACTTATGAATCTCAAACTTGGAGTGTAGCCAACTCGATTAGTATACTCACATTGTGACGCTCTTAATATAATGTAACAGATATAAATATCTCATTTAAATGAATGTAATATGAGAAAGAGCATTATTGGCCTAGTGGCGTGCTACTCTCATCCTTGAGGTCGTACGTTCGATCCCCGGTTGTGCACCAATGGACTTTCTGTCTATGTGCGCATTTAACATTCGCTCGAACGGTGTAGAAAAAATAGAACGGAAAAACAGTGGCTTTCCCTTAATAGAGAGTTGTTATTGGACATTTATGTTAAATATTAGTAAATTAGGTTAGAATTAAATCACTCGTTTTATTTATTTATATATTGTATATACATATTGAAAGTCTAACTTATAGACGCTTTAACGTATATTTGATATAAGTTAAAAGGTCTAAAATAAGTTAATAGTTTAAAGGTCTTTGAACTAGATTAATTTAAGTCTAATTTGAAACTATCTTTGTAAAAATCCAGCGGAATATCGCAACAAACACTGCTGTAATAAGTAGTAATAAGTTTCTAATTGTGTTAATTTTTTTTTAATGATGGTAGACAGATTATAAAATTCCGCAATAATTATTAAAATATGCCTTATCAATATTCACTCAAATGTGATTTGTTTTTGGCCGCGAGTCACCTCATGAATTATTCAATGTCGAGAACTTGTCTCCTGTTAATAATACACCTTAATTACTTATTGCACTCCCCACGGCTGCGGTTTATACGAGAATTTAATGGCAATAAATTTGCATATCTTGTGGTGATGTTTTAACTTTTGTTTCCATATACGTAACAAAGTATTAATACTTCTTTTGTAGGCATTAACACATGTATTTAACATTGAGGAGGTCTGTTAAGCTCTTTGAAAATAAATTTTAGTAATTTTTATAATATTTTTTATATTCGACAATAAAAAACATTAAAAGATCTTCCTACTGAATTTTTCAAAATCCACTTAATGTGGAAAAAAAATAATGATTTGTGTGAAACATTATAATAATTATTAATTTGATAACGTAAAAATATTTTTTAAGAATTTGATATTACTAATTGATATGATTCATAATGTATACCTACAACTTATATGATAAATACCTTTCAAGACAAAATTGCACGCCATATGTGGCAGAATATGCGAAGTTTCGATTGTACCACCATAACATTATTACGAAACATCGTATAAACTAGATTGTTGATATATTTTTACATATTCACGTGGTTTAAATGAAAAAATAAAACCGTTATAAAACCTTTTGACCTACAACATTAAATATATAATAAAACTTAAAATAATGCATCAAGACTTCGAAAGCTTTCACAATACACACATTAAGCTTAATAAAACGATTCCCTTTGAGAAACTGGCAGAACCCAATAACGCTCCCCTATAAAACACTCTAATTTAAATAAAAAAGCGGCGCCACTTTCCGTATGTCGGTCCTTTTTTACGAACCTTTTTTATTTTCGGGTCAGCTAGGGATCAAAGGGGCTCCGAAACACCCCCTCTGATTTGCGACCATTCCGTCCCGCCGATTTGTGAAGAGGGAATACTCAAATTGGAGAACTGTTTGCCTACCCATTTAAATCACTCTTCAAAATCTTATGCTTTATTAAATTTCTTATTTTATATTAATTTCTTTAAATAATCTTCACTAGTAAATTACAATAGTTTTTCTGCATACGTTGTCGTATAAGGAATATGTCCGCCATGGTAGCACTGCGTTGTGAATAGAAATTAGAAACCCTCTTGAAAATGTTTAAAAAAAACAGGTTTACTCATATTATTCGCTCGCGTCTGCCTTGATTTAGTATCGATGTTTTTAAATAGCTTTTAAACTCCTGTATAAACGCAGAAACGTACTTCGTACGACCTTAATTCATTACGAAAATCGTATTCTAAAATGCATGATTACTCAGTGAAGAGATAATGTAATCATTTTTTGTTTTAAATTAGAACATGTTTCAAAGTCTTCCTATCGTAGTGAGTATAAACAAACGAAAAAACACTATACAAACAAAACTAATCAATTCTTTATTTGCAATTGACACGTTAGGTATGCAACATTATCTCGAAAGATATGAATAAACAGGCGGCCGTGCAAATAGAGCGTATCTATTTCCCCGTCGATGGCTTTATAAACAAGCGACTCGTGAAAACATTTCTATCTAGTTTACGTCGGGTCTCGCACCCTCTGATAAAAATTACGGGAATAAATCGGGACACAGAGCACGGAGGGTGGAGACATGAATTTGTCATTTTTTCCGAGGCACGTTCGCGGGCGGCGATAAATATTGCATAGCGAGCCTTCGACGTTTCTTGCCTCTTTGAATTCAACATCCCGATCCCGGCTCGCATTAACTGCGCTTCAACTGTTTTTCAGTTCCGTTCCGTCGCCTTCAATTATGTAATCAGGTTTACGGTAAGGCTTTTATATATGTTATATGTTTCGGAACAGTCGTGATAACATCATCACGACTACATTAACGTATATTGAAATGCTTTCTCCAATGTTTGTCGATATTAACATACGGTACGGCTAGAAGCAATTATGTTGAAAGCTGATGTTATAACAAGTGTCGGCGTCGCGTGCGGGAGCCCCGGGGCTCCGACTAATGGTGCGTGATCACCCTCCACCCACCCCGTCTCGATCCTACCCTATTTGTAGCTTACACCGAACCGAAAGCTCTGAGGACAAGCCACGTCCTATAATTTCGTCAACTTCGATATTACACTCCACTGGCTCATACATTATTTATCAAATTGTATTATGGATTCAATTATTTCTGTAATTCAGTATGAATGGCAAATCAAATGCAAAATTTATGCGCTAAGTTCTAGCTGCATTCCTTTTGGTGACAATGAGTTTTGTCGATGTGGTAAAATACTATTAACACTGCATTATTATAATAAACGCTAAATAGAACAGAATATAAATACTAACAAATATGTGAACACAATCCCACGATGAACAAACAAACCATTAACAATATCAATAACAACATGTAAGTTATGTAAACGCTAACATAATTCAAAATATGTTTAGAATTTACATTCGATTTAAAACGAGCACTTAACAGCTCTTAATTAATAACTAAGTGAGGCTAGAGTGGAAAGTTTTCTCTTGATTGCACTCATTAAACTGTTACAGCTAATTGTAGGTTAATGTTAAGATTATGCGCCCACTTATTTGTGACTTCGACGCTGTAATTACAAAGAGAATTAAGATATAATTTATCTTAAACCGTCTCGTTGCTTCATTAGGCCTTCGTATTATAGCTCCATTTAGCGATTTAAATTGTACAACCATTGGTAGTTATTTGCTCCTTGAATGTACTTGTATTTCGTAAAACCAGCCGAGTGGAATACAAAAATCCCAATTCCGCCCACTATCCATTTATAAAGTAATCCGTGGCGTGTACACGAAGGTAAATGTGCCGTAAAAACCCCGAAAAAGAATTTTCCTCGTGACAAAAGTTTTCCAGTTTCGAATACTCACTCGTGTATTCATAGCTTGCTTCCGACATGTTTCTCATATACATAACGTTTATATTACACGAGTAATACGGTACAAAGTTTATAAGGAATTTCTTTCGTCTTCAATCTAATAAAAGTTCCCCATTTTTTGGGGACTCAAATTAATTTTCCTTTATAAAATAATCTGTAATCTCCACAAGCTGGCATAACCCAAACTTCAGCAAACTTTAATTTAGCTGATAATATAAACACCAAAGTCTGGCAGATAAGTATCGTTGGAAAAGTCGTTAGGGGAAACGAGAGATCTCGGGGGAGCGACGCTGGTATTTAATCACTTCTTAAGTAAATGCACTCTGGAAAAAATATTGCGGTAAGGTAGCGGTGCGATATTGTCATTCATAATAACAAGCGGGGTGGTGTGGGGGCTCGGGGAGACGGGGGTGAGGTGTGAATCTCAATAGCTCGGGGTCGTGCCACGGCAGCCGTTTCAACGCGCCTCGCCTTTGTTTAGAATCCCTTGGTTTCGCACCCAGTTTTATACGACCTACCTACTGCAAACTTGCAATGATCCTACCTGTCATTATTTATTAAAGTGTACTTAACATTATCTTTATTTACATTCATGTTTGCTCTTAATGTTAAAGTATAAACAAGCTGGTGGAAGATAAATGGTTATAAACACTCGTACTTATCTATTTACGATTACTAAACAAATCTCGGCTGAAGTTTACCATCTTCATCAAACGATTGATATTCGATTTTTGAAAATCACGAACATTCGAATTTTAAATATCTACAGTGATAACTAGAGTAGGCGATCACGCGTATTGAAACAAACTAGCCACAGCATACAATAATAAAGTTAAACGAGACTAGATAGGAACGGGAAACGCCGGAAAACGAGGAAAGTGGAAAAAGGGGAATAATAGAGAAAGAGTAATCAATTTTAACCGAGTCGTCGCCGCCGGCGAAGCTCTCATTTAAATTTTAAAATATCGGAGCGTCCCCAGGGGTCCGTGGAGGAGTTTTTAATTTGGCCCAGTTCAATTTTAAAAATGCACGACACTGCGGTGGCACACCAATTCACTTTATCGTCGACACTATAACACAAATTGAACTTGTTTTGTTCTTATATTTTATGTTATTAAAAGTGTTTCATACCGCATTATTATTGAAACACGGTTTTTTGACCGAAAAACAATTTATTGTAGGGGAATAAATACCGTTTGGCCTATCATTAATAATGTTTTGTTGTTTTAGCAACAACGACCTGATCTGCCAAGATTACTACAACAAATGCATGCTGCCCATCTTCCAGCTCATGGAGCTCCGCCTTTGCCACTCCTAGGGCAAGGTGCTTTGCCCCCTGCGGGGCTACTCGGCCTAGGGGTACCTCCACATCATCCCCTCTCAGTGTTAGCAAAACCACCAGATTTACACCGACCAGACGATAAAGGAAACGGTAAGTCTTAGTCTTACTTCTTTATAATACGAAATGTTTTATTACATTTAATAAGGATTTATTATTATTATCATGTCAAAATATAGTTAGGTACCTACCATTAAAAAACCGTTTTACGATCTTGTAAATGAAAAAATCCATACTGAAGTAATGTTAAATACGATAGAATAAATTAAAAGTGAGGATAGCAAATAGAAGTGGAAAGTGGGAATCATAACAGCTCTCTCAATAAGATGAATATTTTAAGAGGTGTCGTATGTTTGCGTGCTCGACGTGTTTGCTCGCGCCGTCTCTGGGGACTATTAACCCCTCCGCCCTCCGTGCGGCAGACGTCTCCAATCCCACTTCTGTTTCAATATTTACCACTTCCGAAAGGCATTTCGAACTCACTGTTTGCATATTTTCGGATAGATGAAGGCTATACCTCGTCCGATATTGCTTCGAGTGTAAATAAGTCAGTTCTTTGAATTGCTTACATTTGTTTGCCCAGCCGCTGGAGTTGTTCACACGAATACTTTGTCCAAGCAAACACGACCTTTTCGATATGATATCGATCAAATCAGATATTCATAGAGCAGGGTTCAATCGCCGAGCGGTTAATCCGCGCATCGGGAGAGCGCCACAAATGAAAATGTAACACAGAAATGGGTTTGGAAGCCGCCCGTCGCTCTGGTTAATTACAAAAGCAAGCGGTAATCTGCGCTCCGGGATGTTCCGGCTTAGCGCCCCCCTCCTCCCTTTCACCCCACGCTCCTCCGGTTGCCACTTCCCTGGCTAATTTGTGCCATTATCGGTGTACTGATGTAAGAGTTACCGCGCAGATGGCCCCCCTCACCCCTCACCCGCGCCCAATTAATTATTCCTTACTGGTGTTACAGTCGCGTGTTTTAGTCAATTAGTAACGTAATTTTGCGGGTGACTTGAGTGTAGGTTGACGCGGACCAACTCGAAGTTAAATAATTCGCTCTTTAAATGCTGCTATTTAAATGTCAAACAGTTCTAATAGCGTATGCTGTTTACCTGTTTCATGGATATTGTTATTAACTAACAACTGTATAGATATATATGTACTAAAGTTTTTTATAAATTTGACGAATATAATGATCCTAATCTTTGGGATTGATTTTCTCCAGTTCAAACAATTTGTATGACTTAAAACGTGGCGATTAAAAAGAGCGGCGAAGAGTTTCTTGCCAGTTCTTCTTCCCCGCTCTACGCCCTTGACTTGCGAACTGGTAGTTAATGTAAATTTAGAATCAATTTAACAATTCTGTTGACGTTCATAAGTGTACCTACTTGTGATTATGAATAAAGTTATTTTGAGTTTGAGTATTATTTTTTATTGGATAGAACAGTAAAGAAATGTTTAAATAAAAGTTAGTGCCAACTGCCAACTTGTATGTGGTTAGTATAACCTCTACATATTATCACGAGTATGTTCGCGTGGATGGCGAATACAGGCGGTTAGCTGGCCAATAATTGAGGCTATTACATTTAAATTAATTGTAGTCGAGCGTTGCACTAGTTCGCAATATATTAATGTACATGCAGTAACTATAATCACGGCTTAGACCCAGTAATTGCTCGACAAATTGATGAATATTAACTGTAGTGGTTAATGCCTTTGCGACTCAGTTATAGAATATGGAATTAATGATTATTAGAGGATCAAGGATATGTACTTGTGTGAATTATATTATGTAACAAGGTAAATGCTATTACTGATAGAATTTACATATAAGGAGGCAATACAGTAATACAGTACGTATAGGTATTTTAACAAAGCTAATATAAGACACCTATAGATCATATAATGGGATTCCTTGCTTTCAATCTTTCCTAAAGAGTTCTATCACGCGGCGGCCTCCAATAGAACGAGTCTCACTTAACATCAGATCGGAGCCGCCAAACGCCTATCCTGTTATGTATAAAAAATAATATAAAAAATGGGTGTCTATGGGCTGCGTAGACTGCCCTTTTTGGTTGTCCCGCAAACTCGTTTGCCCCCCTATTATATAAATAAAAAATAAAAAAAACAATGTTTCATAAATCTTTTAAAGGTAGATGAAATTTATTCAAAGATTTATAGATTATTAATGTCCCTTATGTAACCAATTTGCTATTATAATCACGTAGATACGTATCTTGTGCGTAATTAAAGCTTAATCAAAGCAATCCACGCCGCAATTTATGCTGTATAATTACTCTGTCATCCATAGTGCTCACTATTAAATTATTAGAACATACCACAGAGTATGGAATGTTTGTGTACGGGTTTCATAATTCAAAGGGAACTACATTGTGCCATAGATAAGATAATATTGTATATAGTCTATAGAGCATAATCAAAATATAGCGGTGTAATTGGAATTCTAAATTTTAATTGAATAAATCGATTTTGATGGGAAAATAGAGTAATTGGAAATCTTGGCAACATTGACAACACGATATTGAAAATATAAATATTTTTTTCTATTTCTTTGATTAAAAAGATTTTTATTGGCGTAGTAGGTACTCGATTCGCAGAATTACCACGAAAAAAGTATTTATCAGACTGTATTTTGTATTTATTTAGCGTGTTTCCAATAAAAATCATCTAAAATCATAAGAGTATAATGGAACGTTCTAGCACATTGCAAGACACTATTCTCCTTGAACCCTAACAATAGTGAAGCACCGATCGTGATAAAAACGGTAATAAGTGTGAACTAGGGGAACTGTAGTGTCTATTCCACACTTGACAATTGACGTTTACCTACTGCCGAGAGGGAAGTTGGCGCGTTGACACCTTTTATTTATTCAACATTCTCTCTGAATATTTCATCGTTATAAAGATTATCTCATTGGTAATTTGTTATTTCCTACCAATTCTCTCATTTTTATTGTAATGTTATCATATGATGGCATCTTTGACTCTAGATACTCTATGGTCATTTTGTGTGTTTGAAATGCCTTTGATTATGACACTTAAATAAGACTTTTTATTACATAAAGTTGTAAAAAAATTGCGGGTTGAGTAGCTTGTCCATTTAGAATTTTGTTGTAAATTTCTGTCCAACGAGATTGAGGAATTTTCTAGACAAAAAATATACAAGACAACGCGGTCCAATGCCTAAAATTCAAGAGATTAAAGAAGACTGAAGAGCGTTTCTAAAACTGTCGCATTTGTAATAGGAATTAAAACAACTGACCCAGATAATGTACAACGTACATTGTAATCCACGAAAAAAATATGATATGACAGTTAATAAAAGTTAGTAAAAAATTTCATAAAGTTGTCTGTTTGCAGGTATCAGTTCGGCAGAGGAGAGACATGTGAGTACTAAAATTCCTAACTTTGACTTGTTAAAAATTCACGACAAAATTTCGCTTTGAAAAATTCTCGAACAGCCGTGTACCACATTTTCCATTTTCCATTTGGGACTGTGAGAGCCGAGGAGTGTTGCGCTCGAACACGTTGATTTCATAACACGGCCTCCGAAACAAGTGGGTGGTGCAAGTGACGCACCCGTCAAGGGTTGCCTGTAATTTAAATTTTCGTTTTTTATCTAACTAAGCTATCTACTCTAAAATATATCACACTTATGGTAAACTTAAATGTTACAAATAATGAAAATAATAAAAGTTTTAGATCTTACTAGTATTTTTTTTTCTTAACAATGGGCACTTAACTCTTTGATAATTGATGAGCCCACTACCGAATATATCAAGCTCTGAATAAGTAGTGTTTATTTTGTTAGCTTAAATTAATTACAAGTGTGACAATGAGTTGTTAGGCGTCAATTACGGTCTCGAACCTATATGTTACACATATATACCGCATATAATCTTCGTTATAATTCTATACAATTTGGAGCCGAGTGATGAATGTTTAATGAGCGAGAAATTATCCACCGTTCAGTGAGTTGAAGCGTAGTTTTTAGCGTGCATAGCATTTGACCGTACATTCAATTTAGATTGGAGGTAGCCCTAGTATGAAGTGAGCTCACGAGCGAGTGCGTCGTTTGCGAGGTGTTGCGAATGTCGGCTATCGTGGTAGAGGGTGGCCCCCCCTTGTGCTCGACTGAGCAGCGGCACACCGCACAGATGTGCCGCCCGCACTCTGCAAGCGAAATGCATACGAATCGATATAGCGCCCCTTTCATAACATTGTCTTTGTTGCCTAACCTACTTCTGACGACCTTTGCTGCCACTTATTTTGATATCCAATTTTGAAGATTAGGCTGACACTTTTCCCACCAACCTATTTTTTTGATATCCGAGTTGGAAATGCACTTGCACATCCGCTGCCCCCGTTAGTTGCAGATGTGGGGCTCGACCCACACCAGAATCTCTGCTATTCAGAGGCTTGGTGACCAAAATCGAGTAGTTCCTACAAAACCGCGTTACAGAGGCTCCGGGGTCGCTCTCGCATTCTTCCGGGGCCACAACGGCATCATTGTTATGCTCAAAACCTTCCGTTCAGTATACACTAAATAGGAGGTAGGAGATGGGCATATCTTCTATTTACTTGCTCACCTATCAATACGCTCAATTGATAAAGCACTCCTAGAACACGGTAGTTTATGCAGAGGCAACTTTAATGAGGAATACAATATGAGAAGTTACGAACTCATGCAATGAACTCAAGTGGGTAACTTTATCTTGCGAACTTTCCGTGTGAGATGTGCACTCCGGCCTTATTACGTGTTGGTTTATGAAGTTTACTTACAAAAGCCGAGCAACTTTAAATATACGATTACGGAGTTATAGGTGAACAAATACAAACGATTCCGCACAAAGGAAATGTAATAAAGCTTATAACCGTCTTTCACGGCACCGCAAACCGGCGTTTCAAGTTTCATTTCGTATTCTTGCCTCGTTCATTTTGTCCGGAATGTTTTTGTTGCGAAATCACGAAAGCGCTACTATGTTGCCGCTACAAAAACATCAGACTTGTTTTATATTCCTTCAGCCGGCTTTTCATAATAGCAACAGAGTACGTTCGAGAGAACTTCGCCCTCGGCATTTTTAAACATCGTTAAAGTCAAAGGCGTGTTCAACAAATTCTTAGTTGTTTTCCAGGAGAACTAACGAGCCTACACTTGCATATTAAATTCCACTAATTACGCATTTCGAGGCGGCGAGAAAGCTGTTCAAATTTCCACGAAATAAATGGCGTTACGACTGGCAATTTACACCGGCTCGAAATTGAGCAGCGCCCCTCTGTAGGCTCCACAATTTCATTTGGGTAACATAATAACCGCGGATTTATTTCCGGCACCCGCTCATTCCCTGTCAAATCGCGCCTAATATTCAATTTAGCACCAGAACCACACAAAAACGGTGCCGGTATTCAGAGGCGGTTCATTACGCCGCGCATCTTGCCTCTTCATCCTCCTTACCTTATCTAAGCCATTCTGAATAGCACCCTTGTCACCCCGACCCCACACCCCGCACACTCCACTTGAAGTGGAAAACTCGTAGGGCGAGGGCCGCTCAACCTTGCTTAGCATTCTACACGACTTCTTTATTTAATAGATGCCAGAAAAACCCCGGTCAGAATAAATTTTCGTTTGTTCTTTCGTATAGCTCCGTTGTTTGAAGTACCTACGTCTGTAATTAACGGCGGTGTCGGGTGTTTTTACTTTCGAGTAGCATGGACCGAGCACTTTATTAAGGCGTTAAAACGAGATTTTATAAAAAGTTTTTCGAGAGGCGCGAGGCTGTAGGTCGACATGTTTACGCTCCGTACACTCGTAGCTCGGTAGCATTCAAAGTGCTCGCGACAACCCCTCGCAATTTATCGCTCGAGACTTTCCTTAATTGGAAAGAATGGCCACTTGTAATTATTAAGATACCCTTAAGTGAAACAGATTGCACGACGCTTTTTATTTCGTACAGACGGTTAGGTCTAGGTTACATTACTAATATAACACTAAGTTTAACAACTACCTACTTGAAAAAGTCATAAAGAATTCTGTCACGTTTCATAGCATTCCAAGTTACAATTTGCAATCGTTTCTTATTCAAATCTCAAGAATGTTCTGAGAGCACTCTGTTGAGCACCGCACTGCAATATTGCATGTACAATGGCGCAGGTACGTATTCTCAACTTGCGGCTTTGTTCGAATCTTGGCGTATCGCATCGATTTATGCAGGCTTGATCGAATCCTCCACCGCCGCATTATAACAATGCCCCCCTGTTCTAGCTACGTGAGAATATTGAATATTACATTCTTATGCAGGAAGTTCTTGCTCGGCTATAATATACGGCTTATACGTGCATCAGACGGAGTTAAGACTTTTTGATAAGCAAAGTTTATTATAAAAGTTCACCTGGTGTTTACTTAACAGGGTCTGATATAAAGAGGTACAGTATAAAACTGGATAAACAACAAAGACAAACAAAAGACAAAGTATAAAACATTTTATTTCTGGTTATATTGTACAATTCTTTTTTATAAATGCGATTGCCTGGGAATAAATATTTTTTCTTTTTATCTTTGCTTAATATTTTAAACATACACAAAAATTTTGTATAACTGTGTATATTATGTATTTCATATTATTTTCGGCATTATCGTATTGGCTTAGTACTGTAAGAATGATGTATTTTTGTAAATAAATGCATAAAAGTAAGAAAACACTAAAAAACCACTAAGGGGCATTGGGGCTACACGACAGTACAAACTTTAAATTCCTTATAAACTAATAATAAAGAGTTGAAAAATACAAGCATTTTTATTCGTTATAGAGAGAGAAATGTAACTAGTTTTTACATTATAGAGAGCTTTGCTTTATAACGAATGACGTTAAAGAGTTTACACTGTAGTTAGACAATCATAGATATATTTTATATTAGTACCTAAAATATCGAATAAAATGCAAACAAGAATCCCTTTGAAGCGTGAAACGCCGCGAGCAAGCTCTAGTTTTGCAATACAATAAAACGTGCTCATAATCAAAGCACAACAATATTTTGTATAGATTGTAAATTCATTGTTTTGCTGTTGATATCGATAATAGAAATCCCGCTATGTACAAAAAATATGCGCTATGTATCAGATATCGGATATATTGAAATTGATATTTGCTACGAAGTCTGGTAATTTCATTAATTGAAGTGGGTACCAATAGTAAAAGCGTACAGGGATTAAATTCGGACAGTTAAAATAAAAAATAATAAATTGTGCGTGTACTAGGTGTACACACGTAAGAAGTGAAACTTCTTTATGATTTTATTTTTCGAAAAATGATCTACTATATGCAACTTTACAGAAATTCGTTAAATTAGATAAACTTTAACAAAAGGCTTTTATTATCATAGACATGAATACAAATATTTCATTTTACCTTATTACTACGAAGATTATTATAGAATTTCATTAATTGTAATAGAATTATTACTATCATTGAAAAATGTGACGTATTGCTACAAAATTTCTCCCATACGTTGATAAAGAAATTTCATTCCAACGCCGATAAAGAAGTTTGACTTCAAAAAGCAACATGGCGCGTAACCGAAAAATGTGACGCGTAACGAAAAAATGTTACACTAAATTTTTTTCCAACCTCGATAAAGAAGTTTCACTTCAAAAATTGTTGAGATCCGCTCGGTTTATTTATAGTAAAAAATCAAGACATATTTTTAATTATGCTAATATAAATACTTCATTTAATTGTCAGTCTGACTGCAAGGGCAAAATAAAACTTTTGCTGCTAGATATATTTTTCCTATAAATTGGTACGACACGACATGCTATTATCCCATTCGACGCTATACGATACATTGATTAATACAGTAGAGTGGCGAGCAACCACAAGAGTGACGTGCAGGAACACGCTTAATGCCGTACGTCTGCGACGCGTGTGGCCCTCCCGCATACCGCAAACCATATGCACTATGCACTGTTAATATTACCCTTTGAGCGAATTCTACAATATACCTGTACTATTCGAAATTTGAATTGTTAATGCTGTCAGCCATAAAACGTGGTTTTGAGATATCATCTTTGTACGTGTTTTCATAGGGTATATAAAACGTATTCTACACTAATAAATAAAGATGATTGTTTGTTTGCATTGAATAGGCTCTAAAACTACTGGACTTAAAAATATCTTCTGCAATTTGAACCGTACGTTATCTGTACATAGACTGTAGAATATTTTCAAAAAAGTTAGGGTCTTTATTAAATTACGATTGTGTGAAAACTACGGTAACTATTGAACTAGAGCAAAGTTATGTACCGCAGTTTTATAAAGTCTATTTTCCAAGAAAATCTTTAGAACGTACTAAGACCATCGTGCTATGGCCAACGGCGGATCCAGTATTTTTAAATTGAAGTCGAATGTTTGGACAAATCCAGCTAAAAACTAAACTTCTAACTTTAAAACCTTTTTTGAGTAGCTTTAACTAATTGTAGGAAGCTGAGATTTTTTTATTTGAACAACATTTAAGACAATCATTTCACAGAAAAAAACTGCAAAATACCTACAATAAAAAAAAGATAGGAATTTTTAAAACCTCGCTGGCAGAAAACATTCAAAAAACACAAAAAAATGTATAACTCGAAAACTACAAAAAATCGCGGAACATACATGGGGTATTTTCGTATACCCCCAGGTGTGAGGAATCTAAAAAAAAATATTGACGTCACTAGTTGGACCAACCTGTATGTACACAATATTATGTGTTAAGTTTTTCAAGTGTACAGAATAAATATTTTTAAGTGCAATACTTTCGTACATTAATAAAATACCTACTTCTTACTTGTATCTATTGTGATCAAAATTAAATTATAAGTTCTTGACTTGACCACGACTATGTGACCCCCTCCTGGCGCCAAAGCTGGATCCGCCCTTGGCTATGGCCAAATTAATGTGGGTGAAACCTCAGAGTAAAGTATATCTATAAATTCGTCAACAGGCTACAATTACGGAGATTCACACAAAAAACACAAAGTGTTGTGATGTGTGAGTGACTGATATCGCTGAATGATTTATCATAACATATTCCTATTAAAAATTACATTTTATTACCATAGACCATTATAAAATTTTAAATATATTATTAACTATATATCGAATATCTTAATTGTTATTCGACACTTTATGCTTCGAATATATTAGACTATGCAGACGAAAAACAGAATTGAAAATGGAATTGAATTCAGCAGAGCACATCAAGATAATTGAAATCGGTGCATATAATTAGCAGTTAGACGGGCGGGCGTCTTCATAATTTATCACAATTAGTCGCCGTAATGGGAGGGTCTTGCAACTTGCACGGAACACGGGAGCTATAAGTTGTATCCTCTAATTATCCACTGTTTACTGCTTCACTTGACATTTGTACCGAGTTTTTGTTGAGTGAGTGGTTGAGCAGGGTTGGCCTAGTGGCTTCAGCGTGCGAATCTAATCCCTGAGGTCGTAGGTTTGATCCCTGGCCGTGCACCAATGATCTTTCTTTCTATTTGCGCATTTAACATTCGCTTGGTGAAGAAAAACATCGTGAGGAAACCGGCCTGCCTTAGATCCCAAAAGTCGACAAATGGTCATGAAACTAAAAAGTTTGTATAGTATTGTATGTATATGTGTGAAAAGTTGTAATTTTTTTATTTTTACATACAAAGTTTACAATCAAATATATGTGCTAAGTATATGAGAATGAATTAATGCGTTTTTTTAAATACAATTTAAGCCCGTTCAATATATATAAAATAGTTTATATTTTGTGTAAATGTTAACAGAACGAAATGCTGACAGTTAATCAATTACCCATACATTATTGATGTGTGATGACCAAAAATACTTTATTTCTATCCATAAAGAAGGCTTCGTTTGTCTTAATATAACTCAAAGTTTTGCGTTAGTCTGTAAATGTACGTAATTTTATCTATGAACATAAACAGTATGAAATTGCCGTCGTGAGGTGTCTGTTAAGCGGTGCATGTATGCGTAGGATATAGCTGTAGTCGGTGTGTTTAACAATGCGGTCGTGGCCTGTTCATATACGCCGGTACACCTTGCACTACGCCCTCCGCGCTTATCTCAAATTTACATATGCTACGTGTTCGAGCATTGAGAATGTTTCATGAATAAATTTTCGCTTTCAATTAAAAAGATTTGGTGAAAAAAGTCAGTTTTCCGAGTTTCCTCGTTACGGGCTAAGACGAGAATCATTAGGAATTAAATTTCCCCTTTCATTAGTCCCTCAACCCTCGTATAATTCCGGACGCGGAGCAATAACAATATAAATCCCCCGTCGCGACCGGGGGCTTAAGGCTTGTCTCGACCCTAATTTAGGGCTGCCCTCGCCCCGGATTAACGAAGTGGTGGAACTCGCTAGGGTTGTCGTTGCGCATAAACGTGTTACGTGTCTAATGTTTTATTGCCGGGCACGGCTCGTTTCAAATAATCGCTCTTCAAGCCCTCAATCCGACCTTTCGTTGGACCTATTTTTGGCATAATACCTTTATAAGGTACCTTATGTATTTATCTTTTAATGGCACGT